CCCCGCCCCCCCGCTCCCCACCCTCATCCAGGTTTACAAGGTCGTTGTCAGCGGGCCTCAGCATCGCTGGGTCATCTACCGTCGGTATAACGATTTCTATGAGCTCCATGCCAGCGTACGCACCGCCACGCCCCGCTCTCCCTGCGCATCTGCCTCCTCATGCTAGTCGCCAATACTCACGCTTCCTCTTGCCATCATCATCATCATCATCATCATCGTACATATACACACACTCCACGACACACATGGGCATGCATAGTTGGTCAAGCTCTTCCCCAAAGAGAATCTCCCTCTGCCGGCCAAGCGCCTGCTCGGCAACAACTTCGACCCGAGCTTCATCGAGCAACGCCGCGAGGGCCTCCACTCGTATATCCAACGGGTCCTCACCCGGCCGCACCTCCTGCACAGCCAGCCGGTACGCGACTTCCTCTCGGATGGCAGCTCGGTTTTCGACCCGAGCGCTTCGCCGTCGGCCGGCGGAGGGATAGCCATTCCCCCGGGTGGCCATGCGTCGACTCTGGCCTCGCCAGCCGCTTCGATCTCCTCGCACCCGCAGCACCAGCACCTGGTCAATGCGGCCTCCGGCGACCAGTTGTCTCGGTCACACGCCTCGACCGACTCCTCCTCGACTCTGTACTCGTCGTCGCCGAGCGGTGGCCCGGCCGGGTCCTCCTCTTCGGCCACGCTGGCCGGGCCGCATGGCCCTGGCGCCGGTTCGGGCAGTCGTCTGGCCGGTCGGCCCAAGAAGGCCGCTCTCAATGATTTCGAGCTGCTGCGCGTCATCGGGCGCGGGTCTTTCGGCAAGGTGGTTCTCGTTCGCCACAAGACCACCACGCGCATCTACGCCCTGAAGGTCATCTCCAAGAAGGCTATTCGCCAGCGCGACGAGGCCAAGCACATCATGGCCGAGCGCAATGTCCTCGTGCAGAATGTCAAGCATCCCTTCCTGGTGGGCCTGCGGTATTCCTTCCAGACCCCGGAGAAGCTGTACCTGGCTCTGGATTATGTCAATGGCGGGGAGCTCTTCTTCCATCTGCAGCGCGAGCGCTGCTTCGAGGAATCGCGCGCGCGTTTCTATGCCGCCGAGATTGTCTCGGCTCTGGAGTACCTGCACAGTGTGGACATCATCTACCGCGACCTGAAGCCGGAGAATATCCTGCTGGATGCGGAGGGCCACATTGCCCTGACGGATTTTGGCCTGGCCAAGGAGGGTGTCGAGTCTGGTCGCACGACCAGCACTTTCTGCGGCACGCCGGAGTACCTGGCTCCGGAGGTCCTGCGCAAGCAGGACTATGGCAAGGCCGTTGACTGGTGGTGCTTGGGTGTGGTGCTTTTCGAGATGATCGTCGGTCTGCCGCCCTTCTATTCCCGCGATTGCAATGAGATGTATGATCGGATTCTGCATGATAAGCTGCGCTTCCCGCAAAAGGTGTCCAGCTCGGCGCGCTCGCTCATTTCCCTGGTACATATGCCATCCACGCGCTCTTGCTGCATTGTGTAATATGCTTCCTCGATGTTCAGAGTGCCGAGGCGGGTGAAGATACTCCCCCTTTTGCCCTGCGCACGCACACGCACATGCACACGCACACACGCCGCCTCGCCTCGCCTCGCCTTCGCGCTGGGTCCTTGGGTCCCTCCTGCCTGCCCTTTTCTCTCCCTCCCCCCACACCCCTGCTCCCGCTCTCTAACCCTCCCGCTTCTGCATTTGCGTGGCCAGCTTCTTATCCGTGATCCCACCCAGCGCCTGGGCGGGTGTGAGAATGGTGCTCTTGCCGTGCAGGGGCACGAGTTCTTCAAGGACATCGATTGGGCCCTGCTCTTCAACCGTGGCTACCAGCCCCCCTTCAATCCGCAGGTGGACGGCCCGCTGGACCTGCGCAACTTCGATCCCCAGTTCCTGGATGAGCCGATCCCCGAGTCGCTGCGCCGTGAGTCGGCTCTGGCCGAGGCTGCGTCTGTGGCCGCGGCGACGGCCGCCTCTCGCGGCGGCGGTGGCAGCCCCCTGGACGGGGGTTACTCCACGTCCGGGGCCGATGCCGCCTCCACCCTGGAGGAGGGTCGCATTGTGGTTGATGTTGAGATTGATGACGCCTTCGCCGGGTTCAGCTACGCCGGTGACGAGGACAGCTTCCTTTCCGGGGCTCTGGCCGATGACGCGTTCGAGAGCGGCTACTCCTACTTCAACCGTGGTGGCGCCGCCGGGGGTCCGGTCTTCTGAGCGACCTTCGGTCCTGTCCCTCCCCCTCATCCCATATCCCCCCTGTGGCCCACCCAATGAGGATGTGTCTGTCCTAAGCATATTGTCGGGGGAGAGGAGGAAGCCCCCCAAGAGTGGGCATGCACTCCGGTGCATGCCCCTTTTGTGCCCGACTCTCCCCTCCGCATCGGGTGTCCCTTCATTTTTACCCCCCCCCCCCCCTTTCCCCCGCCCTCCTCCCTCAAATTTCGTGGCCGCCGCGATAGCGATGCTCTTCTCCTTTCAGCAGCAGCAGCACGTGTCTTTCCACTGGGGGGATACCGCGTGCGCGCGCAGTGTTTCCCGCACTCCTCTCCCCCTCCTCTCCCCC